CTTTTCCTTTTCCTTTCTCAATGCGATCAACATCCATTGGAACTGCCTCATCTCGGGCTTCACTCGGCTTGAGGGTCAAAGATTTCATGATGGCCTCTTGCGACCAAGTCTTGCTTGCTTGTTCATGCGAAAGGATTGCTTCTCGAATCTCTGCATACGTTGTCGACTCTTTGATTGTCAACTGTAGATGTTCTCGAAGTCGGTTCTCACTGCATCGGATGAGTGTTGCAGCTTTGAGTTCTGAAGGGTAAGTGGTTCCACTGATCTTCTCAAACTCATGCACCAATTGCTCATAGTTCAACACGCTTTCCAACACTGTCTTCTCCTTGTTGAAGGTTGGATATGATGCTAAGGCCTGAGCCAATGCAAGACTACGAGCTCTTGAACTTGGCAAATACTCCTGGTGCATCTCCTTCCACAACCTGAAACCATCTCTGCTGTCAACACCTGAACGAACTAACTGTAAACATCGTCCTCTGAGATAGCTGGTCAAAATCGAGAACAATCTTGTCGACAACTGTTGTTCATCCTCCGTGTACTCATTCATAGTCGGAAGGCGATCCATCTGTTCCACCTTGTTGAGGATTTGTTGGTACTGCGGTTCTGCAAATGTCAGCCATGAAGTGAAAATGAACTTCCATGTGACAAATGAATGTGGATCAGTACCATCAAACACGTCAGGGTTTCTCAGAACTCTACTCGCTGTGGAAAGGCCTGTTTGCAAAGCTCCAACTGCACCACCTCCTGAGCTGCTGCTACTGCTCGATGCCGCCTGCATCATGTTAATTGCATGTTCTGCAGCTTGAGCCGCACTTGTTGCAGCCTCTGCCATCTGTGCCATGCGTTGCAAGAAGGTCTCCTCTCCTTGCTGCATACCTTGACTGGTATAAACACAGCTCATGAACAGAAGTGCACACAGTTGGTTTCTCCACCTGCTTCGAAATCTGGCCTTCTTCTTTTTCTCAATCCTCGTGACTCCTCGTGTACATGCTATCCAGCTCAAGTGGCTCAACTTGTCTGCAATGCACAAGCTTGCAAACCATGCCAACAAGCAACCGACAATGCTCGTCTTGCTCCACATCAAGCTCAACATAGCCTGCACCTTTACCACAATGTTCAACTCAACCAACCAATGTACAATGTTGTACAACTGTGTTGTGAGCTTCCACTGCAAGGTCAACACTGTTTTGAGAGTTTCGATCAACTGCACTGCTAAGCCAAGGAGGCATAGTCCCACATCCTCAGCTCTCTTCCGTCCTTCCAGGATTCGTGAACCAGCGTCGGGCTCATGTTCACCTACCAAGCACATCTTCAACATGTTGTTGTCGACACCAACCAAGCTGCCAGCTGAGACATTGATAGGAACCATGTTGTCCTCCATCTTCATCATTCCAGCTGTACAATGCTCTCCCTGCTCATGCCGACCACCGTGGTTCAAATTGCCCACAGTCACCTCATGTCTCCTGTCATCGTGCTCAGTCAAACTGCACCGAAATGCACCCATGCTGCTCTGCTCACGTTGCTCCTCTCTCAACTCCGGAAATCTCATCTGCAGCTCACTGATCATCTCCTCATTCTCAATCTCCAAACAAGTGTCACCACACCTGCAGCAGGCCTCGAACATGTGACTCCGATGAGCCTCAAACCCACAAACTTCTCTCTGGCTTCCTTCTCCTCGAACATTCCAGGCCTCGAACCCAGACACCATGGTCATGTAGTCATGACCGCTCGAATTCTCGCCCTTGAAGCCTTCGGTCTTCATCTTTTGAGCTGCGCTTGGATCGGTCGGGCTTCCCAATCCAGCTTCCATCTCGAAGTGCTCCCATGGCAGCGTCAGGACCTGCCAGGCAAGGAACGCAACGTGGCATGGCAGCATCATCGCCCCAGAATGAACTGGAGCTCCGCTACCATCTCACGAAACTCGGTCCTTTTTCAACCTTGCTTTTGAGCCACTTGTAGCGGCATGTTCATCTGTACGTGTCATCCTTGTGCAGGGGTCATGTCTGGTATGCTAACTTATGACAGAAGGACTGAAGCTGTCGGTGTCTGCCGCCAAGGATGTTTCGATGGCAGTCTTAAGTCCAACTGTTTAATGGATTGGAAGCATGGGGCGTCAGGTGGCACAAGGTTTGGTTTTCCATCTATATGCACTGCATGATTCTCTATTCCCAAAGGCCTTCTTTTCAGGGTCTCTCTTTCTCAAAGTTCCCAACGAAACAAGTTGCTCAAAACGCAAGACGGCAGCAAACCTAGCCTCCCAATTCAAAACCACAGCATGGCTCTGGCAACTCAGGATCCATGGCCCAGTTGGCCTCAAAAAAACAAACAACAACGAAAGCAGTTCGGAGAGTTTAGTGCCCTAGAAACAATCCCGATGTTGATTCACACCCACAAAGAATCAATGGTGAAGGTCAAGAGATGGGGATGTTTGGGAAAACAGTGGCCACTTGTTCGACTCTGACTGAGCGATGGGAAAACCCAACATATCCCTGGTGACTGGTCTTGCATGTTTGACCTGTAACTGTAAGCGGCAATCAAACCCACGTTGTTGTCGGCCAATTTTTTGTCTGCAGCAACTTACCCACCCGGAAGGGAATGAAATGAGTCGGGGCATGCATGCGGCACGCTGACGCTAGATTGTTTCGAGGACAGAGCGCCAAAATAATTTGGACTCACCTCAAAATCGAAGAGGCCCGTCAATGTCTGGGTGATTTCGGGTGAATCTACTTTTTGCCGACACGGCTTCGAGGGGGTCCACCAAAAACCGCACTTCCAAGTTTCCCAGTCACAAAGAAACGAAGGGAGGACCCGTACAAGAATGGAGACCCTAGGCCTGCAGGTGGTCACAAAAGCACACTGCACCAACGTGTCCTGGTAGGTTGGAGCTCTATCTTAATCTTGGAGGTCAAGTCCCCAAAGTCGCCAAGCACAAAAACATCGAAACTGTTCAATTCCCTACTAGTACAGAACATAATGTTTGTATCTATTTTTTGATTATCTATATGATATGTTTCCAGTATTTCTGGGTGGTGCGAAACTTGCAAATGTACCGGCTGTAACGGATCCACAGGGAAATCACCCGAGACCAATGGTGTAAGGACAGGGTAAACACAAAGAGTTCCGCTCTTCGCGGCTTTGTCCAATCACTTGCACCACTAGTGACTGGTGAGGAATTTTGCAAGTGCGAAGCATGCTGCAGCCATGGCATGTCCTCAAGCCGAGCAACTGATCCTCTATCTGCACCAAGCCAGCCGCTGCCCCAGCTCAACGGATGAAAAAAAGACGCTACAGCAGCCTCGGATCCTTCGTCATCTCTGCGACACCCGGCGTTGTTCTGCAGTGATGGAACCTGCAGTTGCACGGTGGCACCTGGGCAGGCAATGGCAGCTGCCGAGCCTCAATGCCTTATCTGCTTGCAGGGCCTGCCCATTGGCCATGGGGCGCTCTCTCCATGCATGCACGGCCCCTATCACCCGGGCTGTTTGACTCAAGCTGAGGGCACGGCCACTATGCCCTGCCTGCCGTTACTAGCAATTAAACTATGTTTTGTTTTTGGCTGCTCCAACGTGCTTGGCCATTTGATCTTTCTGAATTTCATGACCTACCAGTTCCGAGCAAACGAGCTTGCCAACTTCGGGATTGGAGCCGGCCCCCTGCGTGGTCTGGGGATGGAGCAGCGTGAGCCACCACAGGAGCACCAAGAGGAACCCCCTCCGCCCCCATGGATGTGGACCAGCTGAACCCTGATGGCCAGGAAAACCCTGAGTAGAACTCAGGGCAGCAAAATCCTGAGTGCAGCAGGGCAGCGCAACTTAATAACAAGAATTACCAAGGACCGCCAAGGACCAGCAAGGACCCTTGTCTGTGGTCCTTGTTTGGTCCTTGGGCGGTCCTTTGGAACAAATCAAGGACCCCCTGGCGGGTAAGTGGGTGGGTGCCCAGGGCGGTCCTTGGAAAACATCATTGGCGATGATGTTCAAGAGATCTGTTTTTTGTAGGGAACTAAGTCAGAAGTTCCTTTCATTTTCTCAGCGAAAAGGTGGGAGAGCTCCACCATGACCCTGATCGAATTTCTCATTGTTTGTGCCCATCGTTCAAGTCAGTAGTTAGTCTTTTTTCTCCTGCCTGTCTCATGGCCTTGCTTCCCGCCACTGATGACAACGACTTTGATGTGCCTTCGGAGGCTGAGGTGGTCATGACCAATGATCCAGGAAAAGTGCCTTCGTGGTCATGTTGCTCTCAGGGCTGTTTGGCAGCTCTAGAGTAAAATGCAAACTTGAAAGCACGAGTGGCTGAGATCCAGGTGGCCTTAGCATCAGGCACGTTTGACAAGAAGAATGAGATCAGGTATGAAGTTTTGAAGACCATGCTTTGTCATCACACCGATCTTTCAACGATCAAACAGAAACACCGAGTCTTCAGAGCTTGGGAGATCTCGTTGTGCACTTCAGCTGTGTCGAGGGTTTTGGCTTGCAATGCCAAGACCTTGATGAAATTGGTGGACCACTTGGTAGAAGGACATGCGAACCCTGCCTGTGATGGATGATCTTTGGCGGTCAAGTCTGAGTCCAAAGAATGCCACGCAGCAGGCATGATCTGGAACTGGGTTTCTGGACTACCCACAGTAAGACGTTTGTTTTCTATGGTGACATGTTAGTGCCCTTGTTCCCCGAGCCCACTTGGAATTAAGTGGCTGAACTGTACCACTTAGGTTTACCATTGGATGGCCGAATCTTTTGCTGAGACAGAGTTCAAAGACACTGTGGTGGCCACACCCAACAATGTGAAATCACTTTTGGACACTTCCAGTCTGGCTGCGTCGACCAATGCTACAGAAATGAAGAGCCACCCGCCACACACTTCGTTCAAAGAGTTGCTAGACACTGCTGTGGCCTTCATCCCAAACCTTCCATGGTGTGTGAAAGCATACCACACCCATTTGGGAGAGATGCATCCAGGCCAATGGAGCGGAGGGGGGCAGGGCTCCAGAACCATCTCAGGAGGATCCCGGGCGGCAACAATATCAAGGAGCCCATGGAGGAAAAGGACAGCGTGGAGGAAAAGGGCAACAACGACCAGCATCGCAGGCAGCAAGCTCTTCGGCAGGCATTTCACCACAGGAGTTTGCAGTTTTCAGGCAAAACTACGAGCAGCAGGCGTTGTACCTTACAGGCCAGATTCACTTCCTGCAGCAGAAGCTTACAGTGGTGGAGTCAACGGCTTCGAATGCTTTGCAGGTGGCAGCAGCGGCGCAGCAGCAAGCAATGGTGAATGAACAGCAGTTCAAGAGGCAGCGCAAAGGCCACCAGAAGAAAAAGCAGTCTGAGGAAGATGAATCTCCTCGATCTTCAGCAAAGGCTACAGCGGCTGCATCCAAGGAGGTGGCAGCGGCTGCATCCAAGGAGGAGGAACAACCAAAGGGCGACAGCAAAACAGCGAGGAGTCCAGTGGCAGCGGCAGCAAAGCAAGAGATCAAAAGCGAAGAGTCCAGCGAGGAGGAATCCTCGGAATCAGAGGAATCAAAGCAAACAGATCGCACGAAGATTGTCTCTCCGACATCACGCGCCGATCAGGAGCATTTTGTTATTGTTGAACACCTTACAAAACGAAAAAAGATATCCAAAGATTGTTGCTTTTGTTTCCCTGAGGCTCGCCCAGGGTTGTTGTTTGCTTCTTTTGAGTCATTGTCCTGCACCTCCTTGATTTATGGCGTATGGCACGCTGCTTTGATTCCAGGATTCACCAACGGCATCGGTGCCTACACTTCTCCCTCCAGGCATTCCGCTGTCAGTGATTGAGAAGGGTAAGGACACGGAGGAGTCGGTGGGGTGAGATAGAAAAAATAGTGGGATTCCTTTTTTTCTGACCCACAACCCTTTTTTTCTGACCCACATCCTTTTTTTCTGACCCACAACCCCTCTTTTCTGACCCACAACCCTTCTTTTCTGACCCACAACCCTTCTTTTCTGACCCCCAACCCTTCTTTTCTGACCCCCAACC